CGATTTCACCGCGACCAAGGAATTGCCACCGCTCAACCGCGACCGCGATCCGTCGCCCGTCCCGCCGGCTCCGATCATGTACGTCCTGAGTTCCGCGGGGCATTTGGTCGCATGGCATGTGCTGGATACCGAGGCGATCAGGGAGGGGAAGACGTGTCCGGCGATGTGCAAGTCGAAGGCGTGGGACGCGATCGCGAGCCACGCCAAGGCTGGCGACGTCGCGTCACCCGTCGTTTCGCTCGACTCGCTGTCGGAGTCGGCGTCGTCGCGGTCCGCGTCCCCCGCACGGTCGTCGCGCTCATCCTCGCCCGCACAGTCGTCCCAGTCGGCGTTCCCGTCACAATCCTCTCGATCCGCGTCCCCCGCCCGGTCGACCTCGCCCTCGACCCCCGCCAAGGTCCCGTTCGGCGCGGCTTTCGGTAAACCCGCGACCGCGGCGTCGGCATCGCCATCGAGCGTGTTTGGCACCGTCTCGTTCGGGCAGGCCCTGACACCGCCATCATCGTCGGCGGCGGCGGAGCCACCGCACAAGCCCGTGTTTGGCGGCGCGCTTGCCCCGCCCGCAGCAACGCCCAGTGTCGCGTTTGGTGCGGCCGCGGCCAAGTCGGCCGCAGCGACGTCCGCGGCCACCGGTTTCGGCTTCGCGTCGCCCCCTGCGAAGCCCGGGACGGCATTGGCCGGATTCGGGCTTGGCGCCATGGCACCGCCCGCTGCAAGCACGGCGTTTGGGAAACCCGCGTCGGCACTGGCGGGCCTGTTTGGGGCTAAGAAGGAGACGGCGGAGACGAAGCCCGTGGCGGCGGCGCCGAAGCCGATGTTCGGGTTGGGCGTGTCGCCCGCTGCGGCCGCGGAGGAAAAGGCCAAGCCGGCCACGCCGACGGCCGCGTTTGGGCAAGCTGCCACTCCGACGCCGGCGACTGGTTCGTCCAAGGACCCCGAGCCAGTGAAGACCGGGAACCGTGCCAAGGCCACGGCTGCTACCGCTCAACCCCCGGCGTTTGCTCTCCCAGCCCCACCTGCTGCGCGCAAGGCTGCGCAGCCCGCTGCACCGGTCGAACCCATTCCCGCGCCGCGCCCGGCGCCGGCCATTGGCCTCGTTGACCGCCTGGCCAAGGTGCAGACGATCGATGTCTTATTGAGCGACGAGGAAGATGAGGATGACGATGCCGACGAGACCGAATCCCACGCGTTGGGCCCCGCCGCGCCGTACGCCAACGCCGACCCGATCCCGGTGGTCCCGCGCTTCGCCAAGACCGGCGAGCCGGAAACATCCTTCTACACGATGACCTCGACAATCGAGGATCTCTTTACTAAAGTCAAGCAGCACCACGCCGAGGTTCAGACCAAGATGGACGCGCAGGCCGAGGACATTGCGGGTATTGATGCGTTGCTCGATTCGGTCGAGGCCATGGACGCGAACGTCGACTACTGGACGGCCAAGTACGCGGCGATCCTGGAGCGCGCGCAAAAGGCGCGCGCGCAGTACGACCAGGTCGCGATCAAGGTCAAGCAGTTGCAGCTGCTGCAGGACGCCCACGACCGTGGCGAAATGGTGTTTGCCGACTACTTGGGGCCGCAGCAGAAGGAGTGTGATGAGAATATTCAGCAGAAACTCGCGCGCGTCAAGGCATTGCTCAAGCAGTTGGATGAGTTTGCCGACGCGCAGCGGCAGCGCAAGGCCGCGCACGTGTCGCTGGACGCGGTGCATGCCGCGCTCAAGAATATGCAGACGGCAATTGCGCAACGGAAGGTGACCGTAAATGTGCTTGCGCAGCATCTCGCGCAGGTGGATCTCGGTCGGTCGACGTTTGCGGGGGCAGAGCCGTTCACCCCGACGCGGGTGGCGCACGTGGATATGCCGGAGACGCCGACGATTGTTGCGCCCCGCGCCCTGTTTGCCAAGGCCGCGCCGAAACCGGCCGTCTCGACTGCCGCGGCTGCATCAACGACCGTGACCAAGCCCGTCGCGCCCGTCTCGTTTGACGCGCTCGCGCAGCGGCTCGGTGCCGTGGCCACGGTCCCCGTCCGCAAGGCCGTGCGTAAAGTCTGGGTCTGCGACATGTGCGGCGCGAGTAACCTCTACCAGGCTGAAGTGTGCGTCAAGTGCGAATCGCTCGCGCCGGCATCGACTGCGACGCGGCCACCGGTGCGCCGCCGGTCGGTCGCGTCTGAGACCGCCGCGGCGTCGCCTAAGGTCGCTGTGGCGGCGTCGCCGAAGGTTGCCGCAGACAAGCCTGCCGCGCCTGGGTCGGGGAAGGGATGGACGTGCGATACGTGCATGGTACCAAACGTTGCGGGTGCCACGCAGTGCCGGTCGTGTGAGACCCCGAGTCCCAGTGCCGCTAAGGCCAAGCCGGCTGCCACGGCATCGTCGAGTACGAGCGGGTTTGTGCCGCCGGCCACTGCGTCGAGTGCAAGCGCGTTCGCACCGCCGACCGCAGCGACTGCGAGCCAGCCGCCAGCGTTCGGTTCGGCCGCGGGAGGTGCGTCCTCGTTTGCGTTCCCGTCGTCGTTTGGCGCGTCGAGCGGCAGCCAGCCCGCAGCGGGTGGGTTCACGTTTGGGGGGCCGGCACCGATCGCCGGTGCGCCGGCTTTTGGCGCACCCGTTGTCTTTGCCAAGCCCTCCGCTGCTAGCGGTTCCACGTGGACATGCAGCACCTGCATGGTCCCGAACCCGGCCGACAAGGACAAGTGTGCCGCGTGTGACGCTGATCGGCCCGGCGCCGCACCCAAGCCTACCTCCGCGTATGCCTTCGCACCGCCGGCCGCTGCTAGTGGGGCCAAATGGACGTGCGGCGAGTGCATGGTCCCGAACCCGTCCAACAAGGGCAAGTGTGCCGCCTGTGAGGCCGACAGGCCTGGCGCGTCCCCGAAACCTGCTGCGCCTGCGGCTGCGAGTGCGTTCACTCCGCCGGCCGCGGCACCCGCATCGGGTGGGTTCACGTTTGGCGCACCTCCCGCCGCTGGCTCATCGGGTTTTGGCTCGTTTGGGACCCCCGCGGCGGCGTCGTTCCCGTCGGGCTTCCCGTCGTCAACCCCGTCGAGTGGTTCGGGCGCTGCCGGGTTCACGTTTACCCCGGCCGCAGCGCCTGCGCCGCAGCCCGAGCAACCGGCCGCGACCGAGAAGGCGGCCAGCCCTGAACCGGAACCGGCCGCCGCGCCCTCAGCCAACCCATTTGCGTCGGTCGTCGCAGCGTCCAAGAAGAAGGGCTGGACGTGCGACACGTGCATGGTCCCGAATGATTTCGCTGCGACCAAGTGCAAGTCGTGCGAGGCCGACCGACCGGGTACGTCGGCTCCCGCGGCCGCTCCGCCCGCGCCGAACGGGTTCGCGTTCGCGCCGCCGGCTCCCGCGGGCGCCTCGTTGGCGTTCGCGATCGGTGCTGCGTCGACGAGCGGCGGCCAGCCCGCGATCTCGGCACAGCATAAGATGAAGCACGGTGGTAAGCGTACGTCCGAGCTCGAGGAACCCGCCCAGAGCGCGCCGGCGGTCACCGTGACTGCCGAGACCAAGAGCGACGAGGAAGAGGAGGGGTACGTCAAGGTGTCGGCCGCGGACGAGGTGGCGGAGATTCCGCCGACTGTGCCACAGAGCGAGGTGGCGCGGCTCAAGACGCCCGAGCCGAGCGCGAGTGCGCCGGTGACGCCGGCCAAGCCCGCGTCTCCTGCCAAAGCGACCGAGACTGCGCCGTCGCCGAGCAAGACGCCCGCGGCGCCTGACCAGGATGCAGCTCCGGCACCCACGGTCGCGCCGCCCGCGCAACCGACGTGGACGTTTGGCGGCACGTCGACGTTTGGGTCGACCGCGACGGCGCCGTCCGCGTTTGCGTCATCGTTTGGCGCGCCGGCACCCGTCACCACGACTGCCGCTGCCGCGCTTGCAACCACGGCGCAACCTGAACAGGGCCCACCGAGTCCCGGCATGATGGACATGGAAATGGAAACTGCGCCGGACCAGGACGACGGCGAAGCCATGATGGACGACGACCAAGGTAACCAGATGCAGGGGGCGTTCTCGGGCTTTGGGTTTGGCGCTCCCACGACGTCGGCCCCCGCAACGTCCGGTTTTGCCGCGGCCGGACCGTTTGGCACACCGTTTGGCACGCAGACCCCCACGACGACCGCGCCCGGTGGCGCGTTCAAGCTCACGCCGTCGCGCGGATTCGGGTTCCAGCCGTCAGGTCTGTTCAAGACGGGTGCCGAGGCCGAAGCGGCTGCGGCAATGACGCCGACCAGTGCGGGGGCCGCGTTTGGGGCCACAACGCGCCCGACAGCGGCGGGACCGTTTGGTGGTGCCGCCGCGCCGTCGGCCGGGCCCGCATTTGGTGCGACGACGCCGTTTGGTGCGGCGGCCACGTCGTCGACGCCCGCGTTTGGCAAGCCGTCGGCGTTCGGTACGACCTCGGCGTTTGGCGCGCAGCAGCAGCAGCAGCAGCCGGCGTTTGGGCAGTCGTCTGGGTTCGGCGCGTCGCCTGTCGCGTTTGGGCAGACATCTGGGTTCGGCGCGAGTCCGGCACCGGCGTTTGGTTCACCAAGCGCGTTTGGTGCAGCCGCAGCGCAGGGCTCACCGGCGCAGGCGAGCCCGTTTGGGGCCACGGCGACGGGTGGATCGGCGTTTGCGGCGTTTGCCAAGCAGACGACCGGGTTTGGTGGGTTTGCGGCGGCCGCCGGGCAGCAGCAGCAGCAGGGGACGCCGACGAAGCCGCCGGCGTTTAGTGGGAATTCAGCGTTCACGAGTTTCAGGTCGTAGTTTGTTATTGAGCACCAGGATGGCCTGTTGTTTTCTTCCACCAAATGAATCCCCAACTCTTGTGGAGTCTTGTGTCGATGGCTCTTTGTTCAGGTTTGTGGTGCTGGAGAGCGAATCAGACAGCAAGTCTCTGTTGGCCGCATCAACGGCGAAGCAGAAAAATACAATTCAAGAGATTTTTAGTACACTTCGCAACAGCGACCATGAGCTTTCGAGACAGTCCCATTAAAAAAGAATTCGGCGTAGTGAGTGCGCCGTCCGGGAATCGAACCCGGGCCACCACCTTGGGAGGGTGATATTCTACCACTAGACCAACGGCGCGTGATAGAATTTAGCTGGTATAGCTTATAGAGTGTAGTCGCAAACCAGCTTGCCGCCAAGATTCTGCGTCGTTTTTGCTTTTTGGGCCGTTGAACTGATTTCATTTCGTGCAGCGTGCCTTTGATCGCAGACCCCGCTCTCTCTCTCTCTCTGCTCTCTCGACCTACCAGCACACTTGTTGCATTCCATTCCATCGTCGCGACTGTGCTCTCTCTGCCCGACTCGCGGGCCGCTCAGCCGTCCGACTGATACGACACGCGCCGCCCTCTGCCGCCCACCCGACGCGATCACTTGATCCCGACCCAACACTTCCAACCGTCTCCACCGCCCCCTGTCCCGCCACGATGGACCGTGACAAGCGTCGCCAGCAGGAGCAGCAGGAGCGCATCTTTGCCGAGCTCTTGCGCGACGACGCCAACGCGCACTGTGCCGATTGCGGCGCGCGCGGTACCTACTCCCTCGCCCGACCCCGCACCCGACGCGTCCCCGGCTGACCGTTCGGGAATATAGGTTCGAAATGGGCGAGTTGGAACATTGGCGTGTTCCTGTGCATGCGGTGCGCCGGCGTGCATCGTAAGCTCGGTGCGTAACAAGAGAGCTTGGCGTTGGCGTTGAGGGACTAGCTGGCTGGGCAATGGACGGATGGCTGACAGCAAGTGTGGGGTCCGACGTAGGCACGCACATCTCCAAGGTCAAGTCGATCAACATGGATATTTGGACGCCCGAGCAGATCGATGTGCGTGATCCTTGTCGTCGTCCTTGGCGCGCGAGTCAATCGGGTCAGCGATTGACGACGTTTGGTGTCCGGGTAATAGAGTATTCGCAGCAAGGGCAACGCCAAGGCCAACGCTCTCTTCAACCCCAACGGGATCACGCCCCCGCGTAATGCGTCGGACCGGTACGCGCTCGATCATGCCCCTTTGGAGCTCGCCGTCGCGTCATGCCGTTCCTGATCTCCGCGGTTCGTCAATAGCGACCTCGAAAACTACATTCGCGACAAGTACGAGCGTCGTGTGTTTGCGTCGCAGGCCGGCCGCGCGGCAGCCATGGGCTCGGTACGTGTTTCTCGCGACCCCACACGCGCAAACCAACACGTCCTAACGCGTCCTCTTTCCCTCCTCCGCTAGTCGTCCGGCTCGGCCGGCGTGAACAGATACCCGACGGAGCTGCGTCAACTGCACGACATGGGCTTCACGTACGACCCCTGGAACAACCAAGTGCTCAACGAAACTAAAGGGAACCTGCAAGCGGCCATCGACAAGCTGATCACCATGGGCACCCCACCTTCGACGTCCTCGTCGGGCCCGTCGCGCTCGGCCCCGCAGCCGCACGCCGTCCCGCTCGCGCACGCCAAGGTGGTCGTCGACAAGTCGTCCCCGCTGCTGCGGCAACTTAAGGGCATGGGGTTCACCGACGAACGGCTGAACCTGGTGGCCCTGCAGAAAGCTGACGGAGACTTGGACGGCGCGATCATGTTGTTGACGGACCGCCGGCGGGAACTCGAGGCCGTGGCCGCGCGCGAAGCCCCCGCGCAGGTCGCCGGCGCGTTTGATGCGCAGCAGTACGCGCAGCAGTTTATGGAGTACGAGCAGCAGCAGCAGCAACAGCAGCAACAGCAGCAGGCTCAGTCGCCGGGAATGCGCGCGGCCACGTTTTCGCGGTCGGTGCCTGCACCGGCGGCGCCGGAACCGGCGAAACCCAAGAACGACTTGCTCGATTTGCTCGGGGACGATCTGTTCTCGGCGACGCCTGCCGCGCAGCAGCAGCAGCCGCAGCCGTACGGGATGATGGGGATGCAGCAGCAAGTGCAGCCCCAAGCGCAGTTTGCCGCAAATCCGTTTGGTGGGTCGGTCGTGGGCAGTTCGGCCATGGGCGGGTCGGCCATGGGCAACCCGTTCGGTGACGCGAACGCGGGCATGATGCAGGCGCAGCAGCCGCAGCAACCGACGTCCAAGACGAGCGATATCATGTCGCTGTTTGGGCAGCCGGCGCAGCCGCAGATGGCGTTTGGGATTCAGGCGTCGCCGTTTGGCGCAATGCAGCAACAGCCGCAGGCGCAGTCGGCGTACGGGATGCAGCAGCAGCAGCCGTTCGGTGGGATGCAGGCGCAGCAGGCGCAGCAGCCGTTTGGCGGGATGCAGCAGGCGTCGCCGTTCGGTGGGATCCAGCAGCAGCAACCGCAGCAGGCGGCAAGTCCATTTGGAATGCAGGCGACGGGTATGACCGGGATGACCGGGATGACAGGGATGACCGGGATGGGCGGTATGGGTGGAATGCAGGGCGGAATGGGTGGGATGCAGGGTGGGATGATGGGCGGCATGGGAGCCATGGGCGGGTTGGGGGGAATGGGAATGCAGCAGCAACAGGCGTCGCCATTTGGCGCCGGGTCGACGGTCGGGAGTGGCGCCAACTACTCGATGGTATCTACTGTACGCCCATTGACCTTGATCGCGGCGCATTTACGACCGCTCACGTTCCGCTGACCTCACAAAACACTTCCCACCTTGTAGCCATACTCGGCCGCGCAAGTGCCACGGTCGCAAGTCGGGTCGGGCACCGCGTCGGTGCCGGGCGGGTTCGGGTCGCCGTTTGGCGCGTCGTCGGCCACGGGCAACCCGGCCGCCGTGCCGCAAATGGCCGCGACGCCCGCACGGCCCGATCCGTTTGCCGACCTTGGCGGGTTCGGCGGGTTCAGTGGGGGCATGGCGTCGCAGCAGGCCAAGCCGCCGAGCAACAACCCGTTCATGTAACGCAAGAAACTGGTCTACGAGTGCGCGCGGTCGACGGCCGGCTGCGACGACGTGTTTCTTTGGGGACGCGACGGCGGATCGATTTGTTACCCTCGGTAGTTTGGTTTGGTAGGTCTGGGCGTTGGGAGAAGCCGATTAGACTGGCGGTGTCCCCCGGTCCAGCGCGTTGGAGTCGAAGGGTATCGACTGATGCGATTGCTGGATCTGAATGGATGGATGGAAATGGCCCTATGTATTTTCGGTAGCGTCTTTCCTGAATGTGCCGCGGCTCCCTGTGATCAATTTGGTTGTACTCTTCGTGCTGCGCAGTTGGCGCGCGCAAACGATCAACCCCTGTCGGGAACGCATCGTGGGCCAAAATGGCTAGGCTTGCTTGAACAAACAGTTGGGGAATCATGGTCGGACACCGACAGCTAGCGGAGCGGAAATGGTTGTAATTGCTGTATTCCGAAAACCAAAAAAGCACCCGAATGTACAAGAAGAAAGGTCACGCCCGACCTAACGACACTCCACTCCACTCCACCCCGACCCCGACGTCGACCCCAATCCCACGACGACGACGCCCTCATGCCTCGTCCATGTCGATATCGCTTCCTGCGCCTGCTGCATCGTCGTCCTCGGCGTCCTCGGCCGGGTCGCGCGTACGCTTGAGCGCCTTCATCTTGCGCGTCTGCAGCATGGCGAGGTCCTGCTTCTGCATGTGCAACTGGCCAAACTTGTCGCCAAACACGTCGGTCTTGATGTTCTTGGTCTTAGATGGCTTGAGTTCCTTTGGCATCTTGGTCGCGACCTTCCACAGTTCCGGCACGGGCGGCCGCGTGCGGCGCACCGTCAAGTCGATTCGCGGGCCCATCTCCACCAATTCGATCCGCGGCAGCTTCTGGCCCGACTTTTTCAAGTGCGCCGTGTAGACGCGCAAGTAAATCGTGCCGTTGAGGTGCGTGATGGCAACGCAGTACTCGAGCCCAGCAAGGTTAATCGTGGCCACTTTTTCGCCCTGGAAGAAATCGAGCCACGCGTTCTGGATATTTTGCAATTCCGGCGTCGAGTCCCAGTCCCCCTGGAAAAGAATGCTCGGCTTCATGCCCACGGCGCATTTCGGCGTGTCGAGGTCGTGCAGCGACACGAATTGCGTGATGCCAAACTCGTACATGTCAAGCACCTGGTAGTCGAACATGCGCATCAAAGTCAAGTTGTGCGGCCGCTTCTTGTTGTGGTTGCCGACGAGCAAAAGCGACGCGTCGTTCTTTTGCGAGTAGAACTCGAGCTTTTGCGTGTCCTCGAACGGGTGCACGTCGTTCTTCTTGGTGAAGTTGACGGCGTTGGGCTTCTTGATCGAGTACTACAGGAGTGCAAGCGGTTATGACATTGCTCGGACAGCGAGGCGCGGAGAACGCGGGCAGCGGCGTGCATCTTGCGTACCAGATCCGCGAGCGCCTGGTTCACGACAGCCGACGAGCTCGAGCCGCGAACCATGATACTCGTCTTGGCATTCTCGACGACCTTGGGCGCACGGTTGTCGAGGAACCGCTTAGTCCGGGCATTCTTGGCTTTTCTGTCCGGCGATCACCCAAGAAAAGTCAGGTTCGTGAAATTGATTCATGCTGGTGCTTGCAGCTGTTGAGCGGTGTGCGAGCGCACATACACTTTGCGCAGCATGGTGACAGGTGTTGCAGGCTGTTGGTGCTCGTCGTGGTGCCTGCAGCAATGGTAAACCGTTGTCGTGATGAAGAGGCAGCAAGGGCAGCCACGAAAGGAAGCGGTGCGTGCATTTCGGGTCATTTGGAATCACATGCTTGGGATCCATTCTTTCGATTTGTTGCCAGGTGGAGTTGAACAGGCTGAAATCACCGTGCGGACAAGCCACAATAGAATCCACAGGAAACCTGCGGAAACCCTTAGGAAAACTCGGGAAAGCCCTTGCCTGACTCTCTTTACGGAATTCTGCGGGGACCACCCGAGAAATTCCGGGCCCCAGGCGAATAGCCGGTTGTGCAAGAGGCTTGTCGCAAATGCAAAGCACAGAGCGATTGGGTCGGGGCACGCGCCGATTTTCGAACAAGTTGGGTCGTGCACCATCCCAGCCAAATCTAAGCCAAATGGGCGAGGCGTTCTTCGATCGGCCTTGATCAACGACGTGTCCCCGCGTGCTCAAAAAGCGGGCCAGACAGGAGGAGCTTGCATCTGCACGCCCGAAAACCCGCGCGAACCACACGAGAGAGCAGCACGCCAATCGACAACCATGTTGCG